TTTCAACCATTTCAGCTGGGAACCAGTCACCCTCTTCTCCACTACACGGCGATCGCTGGCGCCCGTTGAGCCATAACTTAGATTTGTGTGACCTTTATTTTGTACAATGTAATCAGAATATAATGCATGATGCAAAAGACAAATGACACAAAAGTCCTTCGTGTATGAAATTCGTTGAGCGATCTGTCAAATATTTGGTCGCTTCTTAGTCGTGGTATCTAGTGGAAAGGGCGTGTAACAGTAGTGTCTTAAAACTACACAACACATTTCTCTGCCGTTAAAATTGTACGTTTTCAAGTATTTCTACTGTATGCTAGCTTTCATCGGGCAACAACAACGACAAAACGTTTCCATGGTCTAAAGCCGGTGTGGGGTTGTAGATGTGCGAACAGGTGTCGTCACACTCCCCGGTCATTGCCCTCGTTTTTACAAAATGAAGATGCAGCAACATGCAGGACCCGGATGTCCGTCAGCCTTCGCCCAACTGTGGCGTCAAGTCTTTGGTTTAAGTGAACGTAGTCTTCTTTAGCTGGCTTTGGTCAGAAATAGCAGGCCTTTAGGAAATGCATTTTCCGCCCATTTCTTAACTCGCACCATATGAAAATGATATAGTCGGTGTTAGGACGTCCTCTCGGATGGGACGCAAAGCTGGAGTTGTTTGAATGAGAGTGCTCTCCTCACGGAGAAACACATTGGGGAAGTTCTTATAAGGGCATCCATCGGGCCGGTCATGAACCCAGATTCGTGTTTGCTTCATGGGCAAACACACTTGCCATTACGCCACACGATGTCACAATAAAACTTCGGTAGTCTCTGCTTATATCTGAGTGTCAGAATATCAAGGACTGGCTCAAGGATTAAGCGGATTCGTTAACTCGGCACACCAAGTATATATAAGCTGGATTTCTTAAATATACATTATTTGTGTTGAATGACATTTCTGAAAATTGGATAGAATTGAAATGGTCAGGTAACACAGAGTCAAGGTATATCAATGGGGGTGTAAACAGCATAGTATAACTCTTAAACACAGTTCGTTTGTTTGTTTCACATGTTAGGCTTAACACGCCAGGTTTGTTCAGTAAGTAAATACAAGCTTGTGGAACAAAAAAACGTACTTGCTCGGCCGCAAACTTTATCTAGTTGTGGACTTGTTGTGGACTCTAAGGTTTGATCCACCCATACCGGGATGAGCTCACCTAGTCTCCACCTAACAACGCGAGTTAAAAAAAGTAAGCTTTAGCCAATAGGGAGAATAATTGACCAGGGGAGGTTAGCCAGCGCAGAGTTCATTTGCCCGCACAAGGTAATTAACCCTCTTGCGGACTCACACTCCTGGCCAACTATTTTCCCCTTTTTATGGAATTCCTGGTTTCTTACCCCCGTAGGAAGGCCTGGTGGAGGGTAATGAGCACCTACTCTTTTCTATACGCGTGCTACGATGGGATCTTAACGTGCTGAAGGTGTGGCTCCCAGATCAAACACGCGATCCCCGGCTTTATGTCCAATCCGGAGGGCGTCCCTGACCGAGGCTAGGTACTTATTTTCATGATGACACAACACTGGGGCCTGCCGTTGATTCAAACCACGAATCATTAGAGTCCAACTCTACAACTATAACCTCTGTCTGTAGAACAAGTCTGATATGTTTGGAGACAAACCATGTAACAATGTAATGGTTTATTGTTGTGAAGACCGATACCACTTCTCTGTCATCGACCTACTCAACAGAAAGATTGGCAGAATTTTGGAATAGTCGGTTGGCGTAGTGGTAGAGCGTTCGACTATGAAACGGTGAGACCCGGGTTCGATCCTGAGTTGTACCCGGGACACGTCTGGACATGCGCTCCGACGTTGTGCCCTTGGGAAAGGCACTTTACACGACTTTCCTCACTACACCCAGGTGTGAATGGGTACATAACTTCGTATTGAGGTCAACTTGTGGCGCCGAATGGTAGCCGCACAGACCCTCGCGACAGTTCCACAAAAGTGTGTTATATGTACCATGTGTATTATGTGATTGTTTGTGATTATTGATTGATTCTTATGTGATTGTAACCTGATTATAAACCCTGCACCAATTCAGATATAAAAGGCTGTGATTGCACGGGTGATGTTTCACCAATAAACCATTTATAAAAAAAGAAATTTAAAAAAGTCAGCTCTCTCCTTGGACACGGAAAGCAAAAGCCGGTGCCACGCAGCAGGAAAATAGCTGACCAGACGAATTTGCAAAGCAATTGGCGGTGTCCCCTGGAGTACTTTGATTTTCAGTATGATCGACGAATGTTCGCAGGTCACTGACCCTGTATAGTATAACAGGGTAGGTTTTCTGGCAAAAAATACGCTCGACTCTGGCGATTTATATATTAGCGACTCTGAAATTTATGTATTAGCGACCCTCTGGCGATCAACAAATGTCGTTAACAGAGTGATGCCCGCTAAAGAACTTGACCAGGGAACATGTATCCAAATCTAGGAGAGCTCGACCAAAATGTGAAGCATCTGAATCCAGAAACGGAATGACGAACTTTTTAAAGTGCAAAATCCCCATGGTAGCTTTATTCGTTGCTAGATTTACCATATTCCTGCTGCTACACGTACAATAAAACGTCTTTGTATCGTTTGGTGGAGGACAAAACCTAGATCAGAAAACAAGGGTCACAGCATCAGATACGTTAAAAGTATTACACTGTCTCCCTCGGAGAAGGCGATTATGCGATGCCTCTAGTCTAGAACACCACGTGTGAGCAAACGTGCCAGTAAGAACTCCCACAGTTGTTACTACAGACACGAAACGCCTCAGAACCAAGCTTCCCACAGAAACCACCCAACCTGCACCACAGCAAACAAAAGGGGCTTAAAATAAAGCAGAAAGACGTGTTGGTGGTCTGTAATGATTGACGGTGTACTTTGATGACACAACGTTTTGTGCCTACAGGATGAAGGTACGGGGATGTTGCCAATACAGTTCAAATGTTTGAAGAAAAATTGCTTTTGAAGTGAACTGTTTGTAGAAAGTTTTGTTGCTGAAACAAAAGATGCAGTTTGTGTTGATACCAAAATAAACAAACCGGCCCAAAGACACGATTGGGAGTACTTATTGTTCAACGTTAGCTCGGACACTCGAACGTTGCTGTCCTTGCGCAGATTCACGCTCAAACTGCTTTTCTTATATGGTTCGGTCAGATACGTCATGCAATCATCGTACGATCTCAAACTGAAGGCATTTTTTGAGACAGTCATCACCTTTCCTTCAAAATTATGCTGTCTTTTTACGGAAAAGCTATCTTATATCCGTGTCGATGTTTGGTTCTGTCACAGCCTGCTTGCGAATCTGACGGCATCAAAATCGTACAGTGACCGATGACGAATGTCATGTACGGTACTTTGATTCCTTATTGGTTTTCGTGTCTTACTGATTCACACAGTTCGTTGAAAACTCTCATGAAATGACAGTCTAGACATTTATCGTTTTATGTTATAGAAGAAGTTATGTTGTAGATCACTACGCATTATGCGGGGCAGTTCAAAAAAGATTTTGTCATGACCATTTTCTGGCTATCGTAGGAGACTGGAATTACAGAATTAGGAAGATTTACCACATTTGTGGAAGGTTCAACATGTCAAACCTGAGACTGTTTGAACCACTCACACCGGGAAGGACCTCGCTCTTTTCAATAAAGCGTTGTGGGATCTTTTTACGTCCTCAAGATGTGGCTCTCTTTAAATACAGGACATGTATCTTTACATCCCATCTGAGAGTCAAGTGAGAAAATAGATAGAATGTGCCTTTCCCCAGGATAATGGGGTCTGCAAGGGATTCGAACCAAAAACCTTCGGATTCTGAGTCAATAACCCTAACCAGAAGACAGCCTTGCCACCCAAATATGCCTATCTCTATTAGTCACTATTTTCATGTCGGCTTCTCTTTTACGTGAACTAGCTAGAGTGGAGTGAGTGTCTGCATGTCCTCTGGTGCAACGGCCATGTGAGTATAGTTTTTCTGAATTGGTAGGTCGTGAGTTCGATCCCCGGCGCGGCCGAGTCATATCAAATTCTTTGAAAATATTACACATTGCTCTCTCTCTCTGGAGCTGGGCGCCATGTACGAGTATGCCTGCGGGTGCACTTGTTGTGTACGATGTTGACAGAGATGTGGCCGTTACGGTCATGCCGTAACGTCACAGTGACATCACGGAGCGGGCTTCATCCTCCTTACTCAATCCTCTGCAAATACCCCGCAAACAACAACAAAAAACATTCTACCTGCTTTACGTCTGCGTTCTGTGCTTTTGAAAACTCTAAGGACACTATATGCTGCGCAGCGACTTCCAGAAGGATTGAGATGAGTTAGGCAACTGGAGGACAGCCCTGAAATTGCCATGTCGTAGCTGAAGCGCCCCTCGCGGTAGAGAAGTGCACTGTAGAGTTATGCAAGCTGAAGACAGTAACCAAGACAAGTTACTCTTCAAGACACTTAAAGAAGTATCCACAACAGACTGTATATTATTAAAACGTTACGTAGCCTCACCCAATCCAAGATATAAAGTAATGACACGAATTAAATTGGCCCATCTGTACCTGGTAGTGTCGGACATTGGTTGGCAATACAATGCTACAGAGATGGCCGAGCTGGCACGTACATGTATACTGTTTAGACTACCCAAATGCAAACAGCGATTACAAGGCATTTTCTCAACAAATTTGCTATCAAAGAAGCTAATTCATGATCAGCTATGAGGAATACATTTTCTAGTTACAAATTTAGATGTAGACAATTCGACAATTCGACACGACACACTCAAGCAATGTTTCTTTCTGCTAGACAGTCTAGGATGTTAATGTGTTTATGTATTTATGGGGATAAAATCACCTTTTAAACTGCTGGAAAAGTCACAGTGGGAAGAAATTCCTTCTTTATGCGTCCTGGTTTCAGGAGATGGATTCTTAATGGTCTAAAAACGTTTTTCATACAAGGTTGAGCATTAAGGGAAGTCATGCTGGGTCGCGGCGTCTTTCTTATTTCTGTTCCCGCCGGTTTCGTCCTTCCTCTCCGCGGCATTTGTCCTTTCCAGGAACTGGAAGAAGTTTTCGACCTGCGACCCGTCCACGTCAAAACTGCGCAGGTTGATAGCCGAGGGAGGGAGGTCTGTGGTTGCTGCCGGTTTACAGAGGCTGCGAATCGCCTTGTGCAGTTCCAGTCTCACCTGTCTGTTCAGCAACCCGTACACCAAGGAGTTCAGGGCGAAAGACGCTCGGGCGAGAATCTTGAGCCAAATCACAGCGTCTTCTACCCCTCTGTTATCCCCCACTAGTCCCACATACAGACTTACTGTGAAGTACGGTCCCCAGGTGAAGATGAAAAGCCCGACGATGAGCAGCAGAGTTTTAGTCGCTTTCAGCGGTTCGTTATTTTGCTTTTTCCCCTGGGGATTCCCGCCATCTTGAGCGCCTCTTGCTGTTGCGGAGTTTGTGTTCGTGGACGGACCAGGATCCACGCCGGCGGACACACTGAACATCTGCGACGGCGTGGCCGACGGAACTTGTAAGAATATGCCGGAAGGTTTCTGCTTCTGTTCCTCGGGAAGTAAAGGAGCCGGTAGCGGTCCGACCTGCCGCGATGCTTTACGTGCAGTTCGATAGATGAAGCTGTACATGACGATTATCACCAAGGCAGGGATACAGAAGTAGACGACGCTGATGACGATCGCGTAGGCAGTGCTCGCACCACCATCGGACCAACTGAAGGTGCATTCTCCGTGAACAGGGTCGAAGGAGTAGCTGTTCCAACCGAGAAGAGGCAGGATAGCGAAGGTCAGCGCGAGCAGCCAGATGACACCGATAGCGACCAGGGCTTTCAGGAGAGTGAGGTACGCCGCGTGCACCATGGGTCGCACGATGGAGTAGTAACGCTCCACGCTGATCACACAGACGGTAGAGATCGAACCGAACGTGAAGAAGGAGTCCAAGAATCCGGCAATCTTACACACAGGGTCGGTGGAAAACCACCCGCCGTGAGCCAGCGTCGCGATGACCAAAGGCGTGGAGGACAGGGAATGCATCAGATCAGCCGCGCAGAGGTTGAAGACGAAGATGAGAGTGAGAATCCTCAGCTGTGACGTCTTGGCAATGACCGCCATCACGCTGGTACTGCCGACAACGGCGAAGACGTCTGTGATGGTCATGACTGTCATCATCGCCACAGACACGGAGTCCAGATTCTTGTCGGTTGTTGCGTTCATCGCTGAATAATTCGCAGTCGACATGATCGTTGTGATGTTCTCAAGTTTGTAGCTATTTTATGTCAGCGAGGGGCTTGGTTTGATGTGAAGCAGCGCTCGGAAATGGTGTGCCTGCACCCGTCCTCTAGCTGTAGATCCCAATGTTGTTTGTGCTGCTTGCGTTGCTCACACGATAGGCGCACAGACGAAAGCCAGCCAGACGAAAACTGATCTTGTTAAATGTCAGTGGCGGCGCTCTCACCGTCTGCAAAACAACCGGAGGTGGAGCTATTTATAACCAGTGTACATGGCAACATGTTACACAAACATGAGACGGAGTGTAATCTAATGGTGTGATCTATGAATTTATCATGGCGGTATGTTTATGGATTTGTCAGGACTTAAAATCATATATCTTGTTATATTTTGTCTGACCCTTCCCAATGAAAAGCGGCCTGCAGACCGACTTAATAGTCAAGTAGACTGATTTAATAAACAAACACTCAAACAAACAAAATTATGTTAAAATCAGTCGAAGGAAGTTGCAGAGAATTTCTATTCCTATAATTTAGGTAATGTTCTCTGCATTTCGTAAAACATGTACTTGTATATTAACCTGGGTGCCATCCTTTTTTATATACTGGAGCTCCCATACTCGCTACCTAAAAGATTTAAGCTAGCTACTTGTGTATGCTATCATATTTGCAAAAAAAGCAACTACTCTCAAGGATTCATCAAATCTAGAACAAAGATTCCCGGGCCACTTTCTGCACAGTAATTGGTGATTTCCATACAAGTCAATTCAATTAATATTGTGATAGTTTTCTTAGATACACCTTTGCACACAACCTTATTTTTCTCTCTAACGACGTTTCGGCAGCCTTCAGTAGGGCAAATTGAACTTTCTCCTTGTCGTATTTTGACGTAATATTACAGCAAACGGCAAACATCGAAACGTCAATAGAGCTGGAGATAAACAGAATAAGGTTGTGTACCTGTATGTAAGAAAACGATGTTGAATAAACTTCTCTAGTCTGTGGCAGGAGACCTACGTGGACAAATGTACACGGATTCTAAGAAAATGTACATCTCCTCAGGCCTATGTTAGAAATACATAAAAGGGGTTACATGCATCTGACATTTACAACATCCTTGGTGGATGAGGGGGGGGGGTAATGAATCAACACTGTGTGATCCTCTGGAAACGAGTTTGCAGATTGTCGACAAGGACTCACTAATAGCACCCTGGGGGCGGATCAAGCCAGGCAGGTGCATACACGCAGGGATTCCGAGCGGTGAATGTGAAACTACTTTTAGCGTTAAGTAGGATGTTTCTTACCATGGATACCGTCCAAATATTTTCGGAGAAATCCCATGAGCTCTACTCTCAGAGATTTGAGAGTTTGTCGGTTGAAGCATATGGTTGTGGTTTTTAACGCCCACGCTTGTTGTACGTTATGGCGTTTCTCCAGACCCTATTGCAGGTCTGCAGGCGCAAGTGGTTTTGATGTCGGTAGGATATCGCGTTGATCACTGTGCGGAATACGTCAGGCAGCTCGTATCGGAATATATAGCGTTAGGAAAGGTAACGATGCCAGGAAACACAACATCGCCGTTTCGTAAATCTAGTAGTCTCTACCCGACTAAGTGGGTTGCTTGAAAAATAGTAGACATTAGAGGACTAAGACAGTCATGAAATTACCATTTGCAACCAATTTTTACTCCAATACAACCAAACCCTCTGATGAGTATTTTATTCAAATTATTTTTTTAGTACACCAAGAGGTCTGGTGCAGATCATATACGCCAGGCAGCTCGTACTAGAGTTATTAATGATAACGATGTTTGGTAAATTTAGAGAACTGATGAATTTGTGTCGCCTTCACCATAATGATGATGTTTATTGCAAATTCATGCCCGAGGGCTAATTGCATACAGACATTAACAAGAAAATTGTGGCGATATAAGATATAAGACCATTTGCTAACAACTTCTACGTGTACGATACACTTATCGAACCTACTATCTCTACTTAAACCTAATAACGTTGGAATACATACAGGGTAAAAAGTAGATATACAATATGTGACCAGGTAATAGGAACAAAGTAACTGCTATTCTAATCTGTTCTATTCTATTAAACTATTCTTGTCATGCTATTAGGGGGTTTGACTTCTTCTCAGGAGGCAGTGGGAGATGAATTGTCCGACTCTTTGAAAAATAAATGTGTTGGGAGACTTTAGCAATAATATAGTCTTTTGTTGTTGGTTGAGATATGAAAAACTTGGGAAATATTGGCGACTTCTTTGAATAACTTTTTTCTTTCAAAATCGTAATGAGGACACTGACAGATAAAATGCATTTCATCTTCCACTGCTCCCTCTGTACAGTATTTACAGAATCTTTCGCATACAGGCAGTTTCTTATATCTTCCTCTCTCTATCTCTAATGTGTGAGCGCTTAGTCTCATTTTACATAGAGATGATCTTAGCTCAAAATCAGGGTGATGCAGATAGGTTTCCATATTATAGTCAGATTTTAGTTTTCTATACGATCTTAATTTGCCGCTATTGATAGATAAATTGTGGAGGAAGGTTTGAATATACATGTCTGTTAGTCTTTTTCTCAACGATACACATGCAAATCTATTGTTTACATGTAGATTGCTATTTTGCCAAATGAACGAGTTACCGCTATTGTCAAGTATCTCTTTCACGTGGCATAACCAGTTTTTCTTGTTGACGTTTAACATATCATGTTGTTGCGACAATAGACCATCCACTTGTAGAGGATGTGTGCAGAAATCTAGTTGTCTTAGCCGTAACCAGTGCTTTACAACCCTGACTGAAACATCTATATCTAGGGGAAATCTACCGAGTTCAGCTTTATATGCAATGTTGCTGGCATTTCTGTGAATACCGAGAATGTTTTACAGAAACGGTTATGTATGACTTCAATTGGACTAGTATCGTTTAAGTATTCTTTTCCCCAGATTTCACAGCCATATAACATAATAGGTTTGATACATGAATCAAATATTCTTAAAAGAGCCTTTAGAGAAATCGGTGAGCGGATGAGGGATTTTATAGCAAAAATGGCTTTGCGTGATTTAAGGGACAACTCTTTTTTAGCCAAAGAAAAGCTGCCAGACGCAGATAACAACACACCCAGGTAACAGTATGAAGTAACGGCCTCTACTTTCTCTGGACCAAACACAAATTTTACATTTTTAAATGCTCGTCCAGTTCTGTTAAAAACTACGACCTTTGTCTTTTTTAGATTTACCTGCAGTTTCCAGTGACAAAAAAGTCACTGCCAGTGTGAACAAAATATGTTAAGTTTATTTAGCGCAAACTGCAATCCTTTTTCGGTTTAGGAGAAAATAACTACATCGTCTGCATAAAGTAAGCTAGATATGAGTAAATTGTGAAGAGTGGGTGGAGAACATTCTGGGTTGTCTAGTTCCTTAACTAAGTCATTTATAAACAGATTAAAAAGTGAATGCCAAGGTCTCTTACCATACAGTTACAGCTGCATCATGATAGTTGAATGGGACTAGATGGCTAAATCAATAGATTGATGAATTCTCCTAGCATTTCTCATGTTCAAAACAAATAGCAGCAGTGACATCTCATTTTGTGAATAGCCTGCACCTTGACTATCCTCATTTTTCTAGATATTACAAGTTGATAATAACAGGCCAGAATCCGCTGAGCTGTTGCTATTGTCATGTGACCTTTGATTTTACCATGTAAAAGCATGATATAAAAGACAACAAAACACGCATAACGAAAAAAAATAAAGAAGTATGACGTACCAGCACAACTGCAGGAGCAAGTCCAGGTGGCAGAATCGTTCAGTGGGTTTTAAACAGTCCTTCTCCGAACCTTCTGTCAAAGGTCCACCAATATCCGCGCAAAGCCCTTTGGTAAAACGTCTGGTCTACGTAGTCAGAATCACTATTCTTCAAAGGAACGCGCGTTATGATGATGTTCAGACTCTGTCATACAGTGCTTGCGAGATAATATCAGCCTCCATGCACGATTTTGGTGAGGTGGAAAACAAGGTGTCAAGAGTGGGCACATGTTCCTTACGGTCTAGATGTCATAAAGTCAGCGTCACACAGTCAACGACCTTTGACCGAATTCGCTGATCGGCAGAAGTTGGCCCGAGATCTATATCCTGTAACTTTGGCGGGGCTCAGCGGCCTGCGAACATCAGCCGATCCCTAACATCGCGCAGTGATCACGAGGACACCGCTCGTATTGCTGCCGAAAATGTATTTTGAAATCGCCGATTGGTTATTCTTTGATGTATGCCGTCGCTGCAAATAAAGCCACCCCAGGTCATAGGTCGTGACGTGTGGTGTTGTTTTTGCCGGGTGTTCAGGTGTTCTGGTAGGATTAAATTGTGACTTTTAACTTACAGATCTCGTATTCCTCTTCGGGTGAGTCAGAACCATATAAGTTGAGTCTCAAGTATTTATCAAATTCTGTTTAGCAAAATAACGTGAGGACTTTGCTTTTCAAGAGGACGTACACCCAATGCCTCACACGTGACTGTAATCATAACAATGTTTATGGATTTATAGTCATGTGACCTGTATCTTTATTTGTCTGACCCTTGCTTCGTCTCTCATGACCCCAATGTTAAGAGAAAGAGAGGCCGACTTTGGTATTTCATGGATAAATAAAGGCTCAAACCAACGACATATTAAATCTACGACAAAACAAGGACCTTTACTAGGAACTCATTATATAGCGGGTGCAGGTGCTAGATGTAATTCAGATTAGTGATGACTAGTTGCACACGGAATATTAATTTCTCTGCCTTATATGTGTCTATGAAAATGAGGTGTGTTTTTTGATGTTGCAGAGCGTACTCGTGTACTGCAGCTGGTCAAGCCGGCGTCACACTGTCAACGGCGTATGGCCACCACTTCAGTGTTGATCGCCAGAAGTCGTCGTCGAATCTCAAAATCGCCCGAGAGTCTAGGGTATTTTTTTGCATGAAAATCTACCCTGTCAAATTGGACATAGCTTGGTGACCTGTCAACATCGACCGTCCCTAAAAAACATGCAGTGGTCGAGCATACATGCCGTACTACCAAAAATGTTCTGCTGAGCTCACAGACTCGTCAGACGAGCTATCTTCCTGCTGGGTGACGCTGGCTTACTGACCGGAGTTCTGGGTTTCAGTTACAAGAAAGCCAAGCATTTGGA